GGAACCAACCAGACGATCTCCTGCCACACCCAGCAGTGGCTTCTAACCTATTCATTTCACTAAATCTGCTCTCTGACTGTGCAGGTGCCAGCCCCTGTCTTTCCATAACACTCTCTAGCTGTAACTTGTTCCTTGGTAGTCCTGAGATAGCCGGGGTATTCCTGACCCAGATGCACCATGGAACAACATCTGGAATTTTATGAATCCAATGTGTTTGTGACACTATTCAGTATGGGAGAGGCACTATTTCAAAATAGGAGGGAAAAATAATGCAGGTCTCCCTTGGTAGGGAAAAAAGCTAGAATGAATAGAGACTGAGGTTAGATTATTTGGTTTTTTAAATTTTGAAAAAGATTTTACTTTTAAGCAATCTCTATACCCAACATGGGGCTCAAACTTACAACCCCGAGATCAAGAGTTGCACGCTCTACCGACTGAGCCAGCTAGGTGCCCCTGAGGTTAGATGATTTAATTGAGATACTGAAATGTGTGCAAAGTTTATAAATGCTGGGCCAGGTTAAATAATTCCATGGGAGAACTATTTTAACATAAGGATAGGCTTAGTCTATGTACTTAGCTTCAGAAACACCTGTTCTGAGGGATACTTAGCCTCGAGGGATACTTAGCCTCAGAGGATACTTGATAAGTCAGCATCTTTGATAGGTGGTGTGTTCTCTATTTACAGGGAGCCCTCTCTTTGGAATAATGTGCATGTCCTTTATTATTATGCTTTTCACCAGCAAGAAAGAAAAGGGAGATAGTTTGTGGGCAGAGGGCCAGGAGAATTCAGTCTTCAGAGCAGTTCTGCATCTTGACCTTCCCCTGTCTCCATCTCCAGCATTCTCCCCATCCATACAAAGCAGAGAGTGAAAGATCTCATCTGTAAATACAGGACTGGGGGTGGGTGGTGGTGGAAGGAGGCTGGAGCAAAATGTGGCAGAATAGACAGAGCATAGACTTGGACCCAGATTCTTCCATTTGTTAGCTGTGCAACTTTGGCTTAATCTCCCCGAGTTCCTGTTTCATCTTCTGTGAAATGGAGATAATAACTTCCTCAGAGCATGGTTGTGAGGATTAAATGAGATCGAATGAGCAAAACTTCTCTAATGTACTGCTTGGCAAATGTCTTCATAAATGGCCATAGCAACATCAGTGACACCAAGTCTGGGCAGGTTGGGGATTGTGGCACATCAAACACTGAATCTGACCAGCATGATGCCTGGCATTCAACAGCAAATGCTAATTACTATCTCCTTCTGGCTTTCCCCAGGAGTGCTTTCTCCCTCCAATGGAATTCTCCACTAACTAAGCAGGGATGTATAAGATGATGGAGGCAATTAGAGTTTTAAATAGCCTCTTTGACCCCATAGTTCCATTTCTGAGAATTAGCCTAAGAAATAATATAAAAGAAAAGAAAAAGTAGCCTGTGCCAAGATGTGTACTACAGGATTATTTATAATAGTAAAAAAAACCCAACTGAGGGTTCTAGAGGGGAGGGGGGTGGGAGGATGGGTTAGCCTGGTGGTGGGTATTGAGGAGGGCACATTCTGCATGGAGCACTGGGTGTTATGCACAAACAATGAATCATGGAACACTACATCAAAAACGAATGATGTAATGTATGGGGATTAACATAAGAATAAAAAAAGCCCAAAACCCTGCCAATATGCGATAATGGGGTCAGTTCAATTACGGTAATTAACTAAATGGGTTATTCTGCAGTCACTGAAATGATAACTTCAAAGAGTATACAGCAACATTAATATATTATTTAATATAATTTATTAAATTATAAACCTGGTAAATCAAAAGAGACACACAGAATTGTGTTTATACTCTGACACACTATGACAGAGGCTTATGTCCATTATCAGGGCCCCACTGGAGTCTGTGTTCCCCAGGTGCTTCATTTTTTTTCATCTTTACACATTGGGTTTGTATTCAGTTGGGGAAATTCCCTAACTTTCTGAAACTCAGTTTATTTTTTGACCAGGTGTGAGTATTTATTATATATAAACCTTACCAAGGCCAGTAGAGAGAGCACTAAAAAAATAAAAACAATGTGGGGCACCTGGGTGGCTCAGTCGTTAATCGTCTGCCTTCAGATCAGGTCATGATCCCAGTGTCCTGGGATCGAGCCCCGCATCAGGCTCCCTGCTCAGCGAGGAGGCTGCTTCGCCCTCTCCCACTCCCCCTGCTTGTGTTCCCTCTCTCCCTGTCTCTCTCTCTGTGTCAAATAAATAAATAAATACATACATACATACATACATACATACATACAATGTGATTCTTTGGGGTAACAGGCTTTGTGATGAGGGTTAATAATGCATTTTAACTCCTGCTGATGGGCACAATGTTTAATTAACAATATTTTAAATTGATATTAAGTAAAATATATTTAATTACTATTAATAATGTTTAATTAACAATAATGTACCTTAGAATTATGGAATGATTCTTCTGTTCCTGTTTTACTTTGCGTAGGGAAAATGAATTATTGGATAGTAAATATTTAGAATAAGGCCTGACATAGAGTGATCCATACAAAAGAACTTACAGCCTCGCCCTTTATTACATACAAGGTACTACTCTTCTATGAATGAATGAACTATAATCCCCATGACAATGCAGTGAAGGAGGGACTATTAGTATCCCAATTTTAGAGATGGGGAAACAAGCATAGAGAAGTTAAATTGCTTGTCTAGGGTCACATCACTAGTAAATGGCATAGCAGGAATTCCCCTGGGGGCCACGTGCCAAAATCTCGCTCCTCACCATTCTATCACAGTGCATGCTCATAAAGGAAAGCTGGCTTATGGAAAAGAAAACCAAGTGGCCAGCTGAACTTTTAGGGGAATTTGGTTTTTAGGTCCCTAAGCCTTTAGGGAAGGGGATGAGGAGGGTCTGGAGAGGGGGAAGAGAGGAGCAGGGACTGGCTCTGGCCCTTGTCTCTGCACCTTCTGGAGTGGAGGGACAGGAGAGGTTGGGAGTAGGGGAACCTTTGACTCTTTCATTCATTGGTGAAGAATGTCTATGACAGACATGTTGTTAAAGTCAGACCTGGAGTCTGGCACACAAAGAAAAGGCTCTGAACCATAGGGAGCCACTCTTAACTTCCAGGGACTTAGAACTGGATGCTTGTTTGAGATATCGGGAACAACATGCCCTCCCCCAGCCCGGACACACAATTTAGCGAGTAGGAAACAAGGTCCCCCGAGATGGCAAGTGCCTCGCCTTCTGATGCCTCGTTACGTTTCCCCTCAAAAGTCACCCCAAACCTGTAGACAGAAATGTTTGCAGACAGATGTGAGACTCCCCAGTCTCCGTGCCCTGTCAGGGCTCTGCAGGAAGCGGTGTTGTCCTCTTCTCTCAGACCTCCACTCCCTGAGAGCCTGGAGAGCCTCCCTCTGATCTCAGTGAGACAGTGGGGGTGGCGGTGGGGGTGGGCTGGGCCTGCTGGGACCCAGGTAAGGCCAGCATGAAATCAGAAGCTGAGCCCAGGGCAGAGCTATTCCAGGTGAGGGAGGGATTCCAGGAATTAGGGCCCAAGTTGGGGCCAGCAGCCGGGGGCTTGATCAGGGAACCCCCCAGCTGCTAGAATTGGAGGGCAAAGGAAGACTGAGGGTCAGAAGCAGGCAGGGACCAGGGAGCAAATCCTCACTCTCTTCCTGTCCTGGGAATGATCCCTGCTAAAGGAGGACCCAGGGGCCGGGGCTGAATCATGGAGTCCTCACCTGAGACCAGGAGGCAAGCCAGCACTGCCCAGCAAGTTGAGTCAGAAACACATGAGAGGCTGTGGTCTAAAAAGGGAAGTCCAAAGGGTCACCAAAGTGAAGCAGCAATGGCAGCTGGGATAGGGAGCCAGGAATCTGAGAACCGGAGAGGTGAGAGCAAAAATAGTAGATCCTGGGTAAACAGGATTGGCCTAGAACAGGTGCGGCTCGTGGCTCACCCTGGTGGGCCAGCTAGGCATTGTGGGTATGGGTCTGCTAAATTTAAAGGGCCACGACTCAATAGCCTGGGTTGGGTCTGAGACGTCTGGACACAGTTTGCCCTGGACCTGGAGCTGGCAGACCAGGCTGAGTCTATGGGGAAGGGGAAGGCCAGTGTTGGAGATAAGGACAAATCCCGATGGGCACGCGGGTGGAGGGACACGTCTGAGCACTGGGGCCTCAGTGCGGTGGGGCCCGCATGCTGAGGCCTGCCTGAGAATGGAGGGCTGTGGGCGAGAGGAGCCGATGAGTCACCAGTCCCAGATGTGGAGCTGATGCTGCCGGCAGCTTTGGGCTTCTCGTCAGCAGATTTGACCACGCCTGGGCCAGCTGTCAGGCTCAGGCCACTGGCCCTGTTCCTGGCACAGGGAAAGCCTCAGAACTTTCTCCTCCGTGAGCGTTCCCTCTTGGAGATGTTTTGTAGCCCCACAGAACCGCATTTGGGTGAGCAAACGCATTCCCGGAGCCAGGCTTTACAAAGCTGATTTGATGACACATCTAGGCAGAAGGTGAACTGCCCCAGTCATTGACTCACTTCCCCCTGTGGGCGAATTCTGCAATGAGTGGCTCATCTGAGCAGTGGAACTCCCTTCTCTAGCACACGCAGACCTGTCATGTACACTTGGCTGCTCACATAAATCCTTGGCACCTCCGAGGCTGTCCCGGGTTCACCCCTGAGACCACGTGCTTTCTCTTGCCGGCGACTCCAGCTGCTTCCTGGAACAGGCCAGGACACAGGGATGATGTTCTGCGGGGAAGGCTGGGCCGTGCAGGCGAGGCCTCGATACACATCTGGATGCTTAACCCCCAGCATGCCATGGCAGCCAGGTGGCTTAATCTATGTGTCTGTCCTTTTAAATCCTAGCTTCACGACTGTTTAGGCCACTTTTATCATCCCAAAATAGCGCTCTGACCATGACTCCGAAGAAGGGCCCCTGGAGCAAACGAAGTGGGCTGGCTGCCAAGGCTGGCAGAATGAGGCACAGTACTTGAAATAAATGCGGGGTGTTGGCTTACAGATTCTTCTCCTCCACATCATGGATGAAACAGATGACTTCTCACCCCAGATTCTGTTTTTACCCACTTTCCTACTCAGAGGCGGGGGTGGGAGGATTTTATAAAGCTTAAAATATATCCCCAAATTATATTCTGTTTTCTCTTGAGTTTTAATGTAGACTAGGGATTCTTTCATGCTTTGACACGGCTAGGAATTTTTTTTTTTTTTTTTTTACTTTTTCAGTTTCATTCTGTTGTAATTCATGCCCGCGGAAGAACACGAAGTAGTAAGTCGAGGGGCTTAGGGTCAGGTCTCCACTCTGCTCAGTAGTAGCAGATTCGGGGCAAGTCCGTTCATCTCTCTGAGCTTCAGTTTACCCGTTGGCAAATGGGGGGTCAGTTCCCTGAGGAAGCTGAGAGCATCCATGGGGCAGGGTGACTTCCCCCTTTGTAGCTCTGGAGTCTGAAACCCAGCCCTTCACTTCCCACTCTTGTCATGACAACAAGTTAGATCACTTGTGGAAATGCTTTGAAAGCTAAAATGCTACATTTCTGAGAGGGATAATCATTACTACACACCATGCCAAAAAAAAAAAAAAAAAATCAGTGTTTCTTCTCTTCAGCCTTCTTCACGCTCAACTTAGCCTCGTCAGTGTTGTAGCGCTTCTTCAGTATCCCTGGCAAATCGTTTCACTCCAGACCCAAAGCTGGACCACCTCCTTGATTCCATTCACAACACCTTTGCAGCTGCCTGGTTTTTGTTTTTGTTTTTGTTTTTAGAGAGCTCCGTAAAGGGACGCCTGGGTGGCTCAGTCGGTTAAGCGTCTGCCTTCGGCTCAGGTCATGATCCCTGGGTGCTGGAATCGAGCCCCGCATCGGGCTCCCTGCTCTGCGGGAAGCCTGCTTCTCCCTCTCCCTCTGCCTGCCACTCCCCCTGCTTGTGCTCACTCTCTCTGACAAGTAAATGAATAAAATCTTAAAAAAAGTATTCCATAAGTTCTTTTATTTTTTATTGTGATAAAAATAGACATAACATTAAATTGACAATTTTAGCCATTTTTAGCAGTATAGTTTAGTGACATTAAGTTGTGCAACCACCATCACCACCATCCACCTCCAGAACTTTTTTCATCCTTCCAAGCTGCAACTCTGTACTCAGGAAGCAGTAGTTCTCCATTCCCCTTCTTCCCACTCCTGGCAACTGCCGTTCTGTTTTCTGTCCTTAGGAATCTGACTACTCCAGGTCCTTCATATAAGCGGAATCATCCAATATTTGTCCTTGTGTGTTTGGCTTATTTCACTTAGCATCTCATCAAGGATCATCCACATCTGCTTTTCAGAGAAATAAAATTCCCAGAAACTTTTAAGCAATAGTTTGTTTGTTTGTTTTTTTAAAGCCAACACTTTTCCCAGAAATTATGATAAATGAGGGGGGAAAGTCTGAATGGACATACCCGCTTCTGTGTGTGTGTGCTCTTGTGCTCCAGTTAGAGTTGAAGTTTGTAGGTGCTGTTTATAGCTGTAACGTTGCTTTTATAAATAAAAAATAAAATACACTGTGTATCTGTATCTGAATCTCAGCTGCCCAGGAGCTGAGTGAGTGTGGAATATTTGGAATGTGTTGTTGGGCAACACTCTTCCTCCCAAGTGTTTATTTGTAACTGATGACTTACCTGGGAACCGGAGAAGTCCTGAGGAAGGAGACTTAAACCATGTCCACAAATGGGGGTTAAGCCCTCAGTGTCACAGCTGATGGTTTGGGGTTCTGACTGAAGCCAGTTTTCAGGAAGGCAATTTGGACCCTCGTGGGGGGGAGAATTCAATGAAAGGGAAAATGTAGGCTGGTACGGTGAGCCACACCCAGCCCCCGAGGGGAGCAGCATCGACACCCCAGAGCACCCCAGGAGGAAAGGCCAGGAATAAAAAAAAAGAAAACTATTAAGCTCTGTAATGCTTTGGGACCCAGTGCAAAGCGGTCAAGGAAGTTACAGCAGGACGACGGGGGGCCATTTTCCTCTACCCCATGGCAGTGACTGGGGAGGGGAGGAGTACCGTTGTGAGCTTCAGCAATCTGGTGCCAGAGAGAGGGTCTCCATCCAGCTCAGCAGAGTCCGTGCAGGGACAGTGGTGGGCCTTTTAGTCACTGAGATGATGTGAAGTAGGCAGGAATCTCAGATCTCAGGGCTGGGGCAGGGCACATCGACAGCTCGGTTTGCATGGACAGCAGCGCGGGAGGCCTGAGATGATTCACGTTCACGTGTCAAGACCCTTGGAGACTCCTGTAAAGTCCTGGAGGAAAACTTTGTAAGAGACTGTAATTCTTCACAGGCTGGATTGGGGGCTGGGCCACTGAGATTCAGACATTCGTGTGACCATGACGCTAGTTGTACCTATTGGCTGGTGCACGTCAGCAACCTTTGGGTTGCCTACGTTTTGATTTGTTAGTAATGCAATTATTATGTGATTTATTCTGATGATTACTCATTTGTTAATGTCATTTAATTTAAAATACTTCAAGCAGAGCTGACAAATTGCCAATATGTTGGGACTATACATCTCTTGCTTTTGGCTTGTTTATGAAATGCATTGAGAATCAATGAAATCATCATGATTATAGTCTGTGTTTTGGATTTAGTCACATTTTCAGAAAACAAGAAAACATTGAGAAAACAGGAGGCAAGAGAACCTCAGGACCTATGGAATATAATGTTTCTGCGTGGAAGTTTGCTAAATCACTCCTCACTTCTGAGTGGTTGAACTAACAGCATTTCTTCCAATGCTTCATTTATCACTGTCCTAGACGGCTGGGAACCGAAGGGGTGTTTGTTCAGAAGTGACAGGTTTTTTTTTTTTTTTTTGAGCCATTCTCTGTTAGTTTCCTTTAGGACCATATTTGGGTATTTCTACGTGTCATGTGGGTATTAACTACTCTTGTTTGAAATGGTTCCATTCAGTCCTACTCAAATACAGGCACTGGAGGGTGGGACCTCTTAAGATCCCCATTTTCCCTTTGGTGGGGCTTATGAGTGTCCCGAGCCATTGCAAAAAGGATTTTTCTCATTAGGTAGATCTCTTGGGCTAAGAAAAATGCCGAGACATGGGTGGGCACTCTTGCTGCTGGACCAGGCGTGGCTACGTAGAGGCAACCCTTTGTGGCTTGCCTTCACTTAAGGACAATGAGTGCAGCATAAGGAGCTCATCAACACAGGCAAACACAGGGGGAATTTTGGGCTGAGTTCCCATGTGGCGGCCTGGCCCTGCCCACTGACAGTGCTCACTTGGGCCCAGGTGGAGCAGGTGGAGCAGTCTCTTGAGGTTGACTCTCATCTTCCTGTAGCCTCTCTAAGTCCTGGAAGCTTTACTGCCTTCCTTCCCAGACCCCTGAACTCCCACCCACGGCAACTCCAATGTTCAGTGGATCTGGCGATCTTCATCTGTTCTCTTTTCAAGCTATTTTTTTCAACTGCTTTTTACAGAAATCTTCAAGCATACAGAAAATTTGAAAGAACGGAACGGTGACACTTGCATGCACTTGATCTTGAATTAAAGTAATTGCAAAAATTTGTCATAGTTACTTTAATAGAAAATCTTACATATGAAACACTTCAAAGTAAATTGTAGACTTTTCCCTCCTAAACACTTCAGTATTCAGTTTGCATCTCCTAAGAATAAGGATATTCTTTTATATAAGGATACCATGATAGCATCTAAGAAAATTAATAATAATTTGCTAATATAATCTAATATAAATAACATTTAATTTTCCCCGTTGTCCCCAGTAGGAACTTTTTTTTTTTTTTTTTAAGATTTTATTTGAGAGAGAGAGAATGAGAGACAGGAGGGTCAGAGGGAGAAGCAGACTCCCCGCCGAGCAGGGAGCCCGATGCGGGACTCGATCCTGGGACTCCAGGATCATGACCTGAGCCGAAGGCAGTCGCTTAACCAACTGAGCCACCCAGGTGCCCCCCAGTAGGAACTTTTTAACTGATACTTTAGAATCAGGATCCAATCAGAGTTCACGCATTGCTCCAGTTGTTAATGGATTTTAATCTCTCTTATTCTAAAACAATCCTCCCCACCCCATGTTTTAAAAATCACATTGGCACTTGGGGAGCCAGGCTAGTTGTCATGTGGTATGTCTCACCTTCTGATTTATCTGATCACCTCCATGTGGTATCCCTTAATTTCTTTTCTTTTTTTTTTTTTTACAATTTACTTATTTGAGCGCGAGACAGCACACATGAGGCAGGGAGGAGCAGAGGGAGTGGGAGAGAGAAACTTCAGCAGACTCCACCCTCGGCACGGGGCCCATGCAGTGTTCAGTCTCAACCTGAAGATCACCACCTGAGCTGACACCAAGAGTCAGATGCTTAACCGACTGTGCCACCCAGGCGCCCCTCATTTGATCTCTTTTAACAGAGCCCTGACACTTCCTGTAAACTGGAAATTAATTTTAAAGGCCTCATTATATTTGGTGAACAATTTTGGTAGGGTGGTCAATTTTTTTAAGAAGATTTTATTTATTTACTTGAGAGAGAGAGAGAAAGAGCAACTGAGAAAGAGAGCACGAGCAGGGAAGAGGGGCAGAGGGAGAAGCAGACTCTCCGACGAGCAGGGAGCCCGATGCGGGGCTTGATCCCGGGACCCTGGGACCATGACCTGAGCCGAAGGCAGTTGCTTAACTGACTGAGCCACCCAGGTGCCCCCATTTTTTTTTAAATGGACAAACATTGCCCTATTCCCTTAAGGGTTTGCCCTTTGAATTTCTCTCCCTTTTTCTGTGAAAAAGCTTAGCTTTGGCAAAGTACTGTTTTTTCCTAGCTATTACTACTGAAATATTTCATCAACCCATTTAGGAGTCTTGTTTGGAGATTTGGAGATTGGAGATTTGGAGATTATGTTTGAAAGCTTACTGCATCAAGCCTTCAAAGAACATTGCCACCTGCTGTGGAGGCTGATGCTTTTGGAGCAGGTGAAAAGTGAAAGGGAGCAGAAGTCATGCCCCCAAAGGTCTTGCTCCCCAGAGCTGGAGGGGCACACTCTGCAGAATCCCAGATGCCATTCCCGGATCCGTATCACATGAAAACATATGATTTGGGTCATTTTCCAATACCAGGTCCCAAGGATAATGCTTCTTTTACAGCCACTCACATTTATTAGCAGTACCATCATCCTTAGCTTTTTTTCTGTTGACTCAGATCTTAGAGATTAGTAGGAAGATAGATTATCTAACTGTGAAATTCATCTTGATTCTGTATAGAGTCTCCTAAGAGTCCCTATCCTGTGGAGACTTTTTCAGTACTCTCAGGAAATCAGTAGGGAAGGGATCATTTGTTTCCATTCTGTAGAAAAAAATTCAATCTTGAAATTTTTCTGTCTTTTTTTTTTCTTTTCAGTTCAACAAATTTTTATTAAACCCATATTGTGCACCAGGAGCTGTATATCAGGGAGCACAAAGTTAGCTTGAGCCCACATGTTGTTTATAGTGGGGAAGAGGACACATAAACAGATACCTTCACTATAAAATTTCAGTAGGTAGTAGGTATCAAGAGGTCAGAAATGAAGGGTGTATCTTAGCCTTCCTGGAGGATCTGAGGCCTGAGCTAAGTAAGGCTTGAAGGGTGAGCAAAAGCCGGATGCCAAATGGTGAGAAGAACCTTCTCACCTTGTTCAATGTGGTTTTCTAAGCATCTAGTACACGGTAGACATTCAATAGAGTGAACTTATAAAAGAAATCTCCAAGTGCTGCCTGGCTCAGTTGGTAGAGCATGTGACTCCTGATCTCAGAGTTGTGAGTTCAAGCTCCATGTTGGGTATAGAGATTACTTAAAAATAAAATCTTAAAAAAAAGAGAGAGAGAGAGAGAGAGACTGGACGCCTGTGTGCCTCAGTTGGTTAAGTGTCTGCCTTCGGCTTGGGTCATGATCCCAGGGTCCTGGGATGGAGTCCCCCATTGGGCTCTCTGCTCGGTGGGGAGCCTGCTTCTCCCTCTGCCTGCTGCTCCCCCTGCTTGTGCGCTCTCTGACAAATAAATAAATTAATTAAAAAAAAAGAGATCTCTGCAGAGGATGTGGTGTAAGCTCAGAAAAGGTGTGGGAAATATAAATAGTTCAGAATTACAAGCAGATTAATGCTCACCCTTGATGGGGTCACAGACTCCTTTGACAGACTAACGGAAGCCGTGGCAGACATGTGGTGAGGCAAAAACACACCATGCCGTGCCTCGGGGTAGACAAGCATCCAGTGGAATACTTCTGCTTCTTGTTGTTGGGTCACTTACCTCTTATTGACAGTAGTTTGCTGAAGGATCACTTACTTTTAGCAGATTCTCAGGGTTTTTTCCACCGTGATTGAGTTTTTCTAAAAGCTCCCAATTTCACAAGTTGATTCTTTTTTTTAAGGTTTTATTCATTTATTTCAGAGAGAGAGAGAGAGCATGGGCAGGGAGAGGGGCAGAAGGGCAGAGGGAGAAGGAGACTCCCTGGGGAGCAAGGAGCCCTTTGCGGGACTCGATCCCAGGACCCTGGGATCATGACCTGAGCCGAAGGCAGACGCTTAACCGACTGAGCTACCCAGGCGCCCCCACAGTTGGTTCTTTCAGTGATTTTCTTCTTGGTGCTTCAGGCAGGCAGGAAGCAATGACAGTCTGGGAGGCACTTTTGTGCTCATAACTTTTTAATTTTCTTTGGAGTTTGGAGGTTTCTTCTACTCCCAAAGAATCTAAAAGCAAACTCGATGAATAAATCTTATTGAGAAAACTGTATTTACCCCTTTCTTACTGTCCTTATGAATTCCAAAACAACAGGGTTCAGGGTAAAGGTATAAAGTCAAAAGGCTGTTGCCATATTGCAAAAACATTCTGGGTATGGGCTCCATATTGTATGTCCTTCTAGAAAATTCTGTTCTTCATGCGAGAGGAAAAAAGAACTAACACTCTGGCTACTGCTCTGTGTTTTACTTGCTTGTACTCTTCATTGAATAATTTCTTAATTATAGTTCTAGCTGCTTTATATCATATCGGATCCATTTTCATGAAGGATTATACAAATATTCTGATATGGTTTCATTAAAAAGAAGCCTCTACCCAGGTGTACAAGCTTAAATACTAGTGTAGGAAGACGTGTTCATTGAGTGATGCTGGGCGGCAGCGAGAGAGCTTGTGCATCTGTTGAGCAGAGTGGTGAGTGGTATGGCACAGATTTGGAGCTCTTTGTTATTGTAAAAATTGTGGTTTGTTAACTATTAAAATGGATACACATTTTTCTATGGAGCCATTGTAAAAAAAATGCATAAGAAGGGGTGATTATACAAATGTATGTTGCTGGGGTGCCTGGGTGGCTCAGATGGGTAAGCGTCTGCCTTTGGCTCAGGTCATGATCTCCTGGTCCTGGGATGAAGCCCCACAGTAGACTCCTGGCTCAGCGGGGAGTCTGCTTCACCCTCTCGCTCGGCCTCTCCCCCCTACTCCTGCTCTCTCTCTCTCTCTCAAATGAATAAATAAAATCTTTAAAACAACAACAACAACAACAAAACTAAAAAAAC